CCAAGGTTGCCTACCCCTCCTCTAAACTAATAAAGTCTAATTAATTAACATTAATTATGCTTTCATATGTTCCTCTAGGTCAGGGGTAGGCAACCTTGGCTCTTTTATGACTCATGGACTTCAACTCCCAGAATTCCTGAGCCAGCCACGCTGAGGGGAAAGGGAGAGGTTTCCAAGCTGAGCCATGCTGGCTCAGGAATTCTGGGAGTTGAAGTCCACGAGTCATAAAAGAGCCAAGGTTGCCTACCCCTGCCGTAGACTCTAGAGCAATCTCAAAAAAGTTCAGCCATGTATTGGGCTATTCTCTACTGCAGTTTCGCAACCTCAGCAACAAAGATGTGTGGACTTCAACTCCCAGAATTCCCCAACCAGCCCAGCTGAAGTCCATGTATCTTGAAGTTGCTGATAAACTCTGCTGTATTGCCTTGCTCTGTAAGAAATGAAAATATCCCCAAATATGGATCACCCTTAACTTTACTACACAAACTCCAGAAGGGGTGGTGTTCTGCAGTGCCAGACTCATTTACCACTTATTGTAATTAAACTGTGGACTGTGGCAGATGAGGAGAGAGAGAAAAGCCTTCCTTTTTGGTCTATTGAAGACTGCCTTCTCCAGCCCCCAAGTCAAGTTCTGCCTGCTTTCCTCCAGCTTCAGGAGGAATGGATTAGGGATGAATCCCCAGAGGAGAAGAATGGTTGACATGTCCATCAGTGGTTCTTTGGGAGATATGAAAATACACCACATTCTGAACTGACGACTGAACGCCCACATTTAGCATATAGTATTTCTCAGCTGTAGCAGCTTTAAGATGCGTGGACGTCAACTCCCAGAATTCCCCAGCCAGGGAATTGTGGGAGTTGAAGTCCACACACTTCTTAAAGTTGCTAAGGTTGAGAAACACTGGTGCCTATAGGACAGGGGAGGGGGTCTCCAAACTTGGCAACTTTAAGACCTGCAAACTTCAACTCCCAGAATTCCCCAGCCAGCCAACTTTCCTTCCCCACATGAAAGTGAGGTGAAGCACTGCTGAAGACAAACTATGATGTACATATATTAAGAGGCAGCTTATGGAGACAAATAAACACCTAAGGACACTTCCACGTGCTCCTTCCTCTGTAATAGGATTACAGACTCAGTTTCCTCATCTGCAGCCCTTGGTGTAAATGCCCGCTTGGTTTCCCCCCTCTAATTTATGCCTTTTTTGTAGTTTTGGAAAGGACAAATGTATGACTGCTGTGCAGCAGGCCAATCTTCAAACCGTTTGGGAGACCTACGTACAAACCTACATATTGTGCCGAGAATAGCTGTTAGCTCAAGGGCCGTTGAAGCCATATCCTGTCTCCAACAGAAGGCAACGACATTTCCCCAAAACCCATGAGCAGGGAGTGAAAACACAGAACATAGAATAAGAGAAGGGACCTTGGAGGTCTTCTAGTCCAACCCCCTGCTTTAGCACAAGATGCTATGCCAAGCAACAGCCTCTCATTCCCATTGTTCCTTGAGGAGAGGGAGGGACCCCCACGCCAGCATTTGTGAGCTCTTCCCAACCAGTGAGATGTTCTTTGGGTGACAGACACCATTTTTGCTGTTGAGGGACAACCAATTCCAGGTCCTGTTAGAAACAAAAATTTTCACATCTTCCATCCAAGATGACAAATGGATTGTCCAATATATACCGATTAAAGGGCGACCTTGAGTGCAAAGTGGCAGAGCAATTAGCTAAGGGTAATGGGTAGGTGGGGGACATTTGTCATGATGTGGAAATATAAATTAGCAGTGGTTGGCAGACCTTCTTAGGGGAACCCGTTGGGTCTACACAAACACTGCCTTTCTTGCTCTTTCTTCTTCCATGGTCTTCTCCAGTTTAACCTCTCCAGAAGTGTTGGTCTACAGCAGTGGTTGTCAACCTGTGGGTCGGGACCCCATTTGGGGTCGATCGACCATTTCACGGGGTCGCCAAGCAAGGCTGTCCGACATTTTTTTGTCCGACATTTTTTTCCCCATTTTTTCCCTTTTCCGGCGGGTGCCTTACCTCCCTTGGGCTGGGCCAGCTGGTGGTCGGCCTGCTCCGTCTCTGCCGCTTGCCAGCTATGCCTCGGCCGGCACAGGGGGCGGAACCACGCATGTGTGGCGCTCCCGGGCAGGGAAAGTCCTCGACTTACGACTGGTTTAGTCCTCGACTTACGACCGGTTTAGTCCTCGACTTACGACCTGTTGGGGTCGCAGCATTAAAAAGGTTGAGAACCACTGGTCTACAGCACCCATAGTGAGTGGAAATAACGTGGCTGTAATCTAACATGACCTGGGAAAAACTGCAAGTGTCTCTGAAAACAAGCCCAGAGGTTTCATGGTAACTATCTTGGAAAAAGGGTTCACAGCTTACAATCAATCCAGCCAAAAAGAGTTGATCCTTGCAGCAACAAGCAATCTGCTGAAGATAAAGTTCGCTGCAGGATTGGAAAACAATTTTGTGCTTTACCAAGATTCACTTTTCAACTAACCCCTTCCTGATGCCCTCTTCAGTCGCCGTATGTCTGCAAGAAAAATCTGATGTTTGACACTGTTTATGCTATTTATTCTCCTCCAAGACAAAAGTTATTTCTATTGCTTTAGTTCCAGCTGCACTTTGCTCTAACATTTCTCCTTTCTTTGCAATTGCAGATTTTTATGTGCCCCAAAACCGAAAAACTTTATACAGTAGTCCTCAACTTAGGACCACAATTGAGCCCAAAAGTTCTGTTGCTAAGTGAAACTTTTGTTAAATGAGCTTTGCCCCATTTTATGACCTTTCTTGCCACAGCTGTTAAGTGAATCCGTGCAGTGGTTAAGTTGGTAAATGGTTGTTAAGTGAATCTGGTCATGTCTCACTTAACAACATGGTGATTTGCTTTGACGCCTGTGGCAAAACAAAATTGTAAAACCGAATGCAGGCACCCCCATGCCTCAGTTTAACAACCACGCTGATTAACGAAGAATTTTCCAACTGTAGCCATAAATTGAGAACTACCATTATTGAATAGCGAAGATGACATCTTCCACAGTGTCCAGGCGGTTTCAAGTACAGTATACCATCAAGTGGGCTGGAATCTTATGTGATAAACTATTCCCCAGTTTATCTCTGAAACTGGGAACATTTGAAACTGATAGACCAGAGGAAAAAAACCTTCTGCAAGTCATTTTCTTTAAGGCATGCTGTGGTGTTGAGCAGGCAGGTTCATCCAATTGTTTTGCACCACCTGAGTGTTTAGAATTTGGATGCAGACATTCTTGGCAATGGCGATCTCTTCCCTTCAGAGGTGGGATGCTGATGGCCAGGAGACAGATGCCTAGTGATTCGGTCTAATGGTCATTGTGGATGAGAAGAAAGCTACCATAAAAGCTAAAGTTCTGAATGTGGGCTTTGCTGTGATTCCAACTTTACAATCTGAGGTAAAAAATGGGGGGGGGGGGGAGAGAACCATGGAGTGAAGATCAGTAGGTCCAGACGGACACGATGGGAGGCCTTGGATGGCTGCATTCTTCTGGGTGGGTTGAGGCTAAGAATAATGGGATGGTGGGATTTTAGGCAGGCAGTCCTCGACTTACAATCATTCATTTAGTGACTGTTTGAAGTCACAACAAAAAATGTCATCGCAGCATCCCCATACAGCAAGTCACATGATCAAAATTCAGACACTTGGCATCTAACTCATATATATGACAGTCACAGTGTGTCCCGGGGTCATGTGATTCCCCCTTTTGTGATCTTTTGGCAAGCAAAGTCAAAGGGGAAGCCAGATTCTTTTAGCAACCATGTGGCTAACTTAACAACTGCAGTGGTTCACTTAATGACTGTGGCAAGAAAGGTCATAAAATGGGGCAAAAATTCACTTAACAAGTGTCTCGCTTAGCAACGGAAATTTTGGGCTCAGTTGTGGCTGTATGTCAAGGACTACCTGTCTGAGCCAGAATTCTGCTTTTGGAGACAGGGGATAGGATTAAAATTTAAATGGTGGCAAACACCGTTCTGTCGGATGACTCAAAACAAGTTCATCGCAGTGGCAGTAAATCTAATGACATTTCCAGGACAAAGCATAACTAAGTTAGGCCCTATTAAACTTTGTGGCTTAAATCTAAGCAGGACTGGAAAGGCTAGCACAGAATAGCATTTAATGCTACCAGTAAAAGAATACTATGGACCTTGTTTTACTTTCCTTCCTTAACCAAAAGAAAAAGGGATGAAAGTGAAGAATATGAAAGCAGAGAGATGGCTGTATTGGTGGATTCCTTGTCTGACAGGATCAATCATACAAAAGACAAATTTGTCTAGAGGCCCCCTAATATCTAGCTGAAATGCTTTAACAACAGCCCCTTTAAAGCAGGGCTTCCCAACCTTGGCAACTTGAAGATATGTGGACTTCAACTCCCAGAATTCCCCAGCTAGCAAGGACAAGTTGGGCAGAAAAACTACAGGTGAAGAAGACCTGACCCTTCTTCTTGGGTGAAGTCACCATAGATCCATGGAACTTCAGGCTTAATGGATACACGTGTCCAGATACAGCTACCCTATGGTCTCAAGGGAGCAGTCTTCCAACTTGAACCCATGGCTCTGCTTCTTCTTGGATTCTACCCAAGGGCTGTAGACTGTTGTATGAAGGAACATCCTTATGCAAAGATGGTCAAATCTTTGGACAAATGCCCCTCTGCCACTCCAGTTCAAGGCAAGGAGAGCCAAGACTCCCTTGCTAGGAACACAGATTGTCCTAAGCTATGTCCATATCTAAAGAATGATATACACATCATCTTTATATATGGAACTACATAAACAGAAGAACACTATTTTTGTCTTCCAGCTACCTTTCTTAAAACAATTACAATGGAGGATCAAGCAAGCCCTGAAATGAAATTCCCCCAAGTAAACAAAACAGAGAATCCAAGATGTATCTTTCAGGTCTCCAAGAGAGCAGCTCAGTCGTTTTGATAAGATCCCTTAACTCTATCCAGAAACAAGGAATTATTCTTCCTTTTGAGATACATTTAATATGCAAAAGAAATCAAACAAAGAATTCACAACCCAATGGAACTGAAAGAAAAAAAAACCCTTAATATCAGGGACAGATTTTAGGGAGACAGGAGAAAAAGGTTGAACTTGCTAGTTGAAAAGAAAACTTTTCAGAAGAGAATTCAGAATTCACCCGTTCAGCTCTTGTCCTTCTGTCTCCGTGAGTAGAGACTAATCTACTTCTGAGAATTTGGCAGCTTCACAACTCGCTCCGGATGGAGTTTCCAGTGAATTTAAACTCCTTGTCAGCAAAATAACTAAGTATGGCTACAGAATCAACGGTACTTTGGGGGAAAGGAGAGAGGAAGTGGTCCAACGCAATCTATTAAAATGTTATCACAATCATCTATGCATAATCCACTAATGTATTACCCGGGGGGGGGGGAAAATCACAGCCGGGACATAAATGAGGGAACAATGAAAATGTTCAGTAGGAAAGAAAGAGGCAAAGGAAATTCAAATTCAACTTGAAAGCCAAGAGTTTGATCAGGATTGACTTTAGTTTACCGACAGAGAGATCTTCTGATATCACAGAAGAGGTTAAGTTCTCCTTTCCAAAGATCTCGGCTCAGGCGGGGATCAGAAAACCCTGCTGGTGACAGATGGGTAACCGAGACAAGTTTACACCACAGCTCCCTCGGTGGTTGGAGCACCTGGGAGGAGCCCTCCATTTGGGACCATCTCTGAACCCAACATCTTGTCTTTCCCCGAATCCACTCGTTTCTTCTTGAGCTGACTCTGATGGATGAAGGGAACAAACGCGAGAATGAGGCCTCCAATTATTGGAGGAACACCAGCAAAGTAGAAGGCAAGCTGGTAATTCCCAAAATAGTCATGAAGGAGTCCTGAAAAAGAAGAAAAGCAGGTAACATATAATGAAACTTTAACGTAACACACATGTACACAGAGGGCTTAATTCCAGTGTTCTACAGAAGGTTGATATCACTTCTTTCTTATTTGCAATAAAAGCGACTTATCTAGCTGGGCTGTAACCTTCAAGCTTCTACAGTTAGCTATTTGATGACAGGCCAGGTTTCAGATGGTGACAATTTGCCATCAACTCCTTGACTCTGAACCGTTTGAAAAATACTGCCCACATTTTAATTGGAGGCATCCTGAACTAAATGATTTTTTTTAAAAATTCTTCATAGCATTGAGCAGTTCTGAGCCTTGAATTCAGTGTAAAGTCTTTCAATTTTGCTTTTAATGGGCTTTAATAAAAATATCACTAAATGTTACTTATTCCAAATTCAGATGACCGGTTGGGGAGGAAGCAGTCTGGTTTTAAAGAATACAAATTATTCCCAGAAAAAGAGATACAAGATCTGGCCAAGATCTTTCCAGCTGCAGCACTTCTTGTGCAAATCTTTAGATCTTTTTAATCTGGGAAAATGGACTTTATTGAGCAACATTTGGCTATTTTCTAAGCAGTGTAACAATCTGGACCTGTTGATAGTTGCCAAATTAAAAAAAAATTCAAACACTTCAAAATCCAGCCAGCGTTTATACAGTGGCCAACAACATTACTTATTACCACTTATGAACCCCACTACATGTTTTTTTAGAGATTTTTCTTATACAAGTTGAAGCACAAAGAATGTGACAAAGGTTAGGGTTAGTCTGAGAGATGAATCATTAGTTAACAAATACTTCTGTTGGCTAGTGGGCTGGTGCACTCTAACCTCACTTTTAGACGTTTTGCTAACAATTATAAAATACTAGGAATTACATGAGGATCTTTAGGAATTCAAAAGGAATTTACAAACATTATCCAAATCATATATGCATAAACTGAATACTTGGGGCTGCAGACAACCCCAGAATGTTGTGGGTTCTACTCTTTGAGACCTTGACCAGTTGAAATGTTTAATGGAAGAGAAGGAAAGCTTTGATGACCACTAATTTTAACAAATGAAAATGAAATCAAATTAAGTTTTCTTCTGGCCTCTCCTACTATTTTTTTCAAATACAGTTACTTCAAAGTGAGAAGGAGCACCCAAACCGCATTTCCTGCTTCTTCTTGCAATTAAGAGCCTGCGAAATGGGTCCACATATGGAAAAATCCCAGAGAAACTGACATATCTGGAGGATGGGCGATTTAGGAGGAAGTATTTCTGTATACTGGCTCAATTTAGCTATCACACCAAACTGTCACCAGGAAAATTTGCCTAGGATTTGACAAGAGAGCTGGAATAATAATTAGCCATCAAATTAACATCTGAGACTGGTTTGCATAGTGATAAGCCAAATGAAGCATTGACCACTACTGTTGGGCCTTCAGGAGCCATCCTATCCAGGCAAATGGAAACCCCAAATAGATAAGCCATTCTGTATACTTATGGTTTATTCACCCAATACATATTTGTCCATGTAACATTTAGGACAGTGTTATAATGAGTTGGTTGAGCTACTGACTGCTGGCCAAGTCAAAGAAGCTACAGATCCTGGATTAAAGGTGAAAGTCAACTATGAGGTCCCTTGTCTACCAACTGTTCATACCTTGCTTGGATAAGGACTTTTTAGACATATTGGAAACATCTTCCTGCCAAAATCATCAAGGTAGAGAATTCTCTCACCTGCAATTGGTGGGCCAGCTGACATGGGAATGGCCATGAGTCCCAGGAGATAGCCAATGGCTTGAGAAGCCTCCATAGGCCCAACCAGCTCAAAGGCAATGGGGGCCATAATGGTGATGAAGAGTCCATCACAAAGTCCAAGGAAGAGGCAGACGATGATCACCCCCCAAAACGCTTGGCACTGTAGCAACATCATGCACATGACACCCAAGGTGATGAAGGATGCAACCTGAAGAGTCAAAACAAGGAAGCTGTTCAGACAACCAGGACAAATGTGGAATTCCCTGAACAAGGAGTGAGAGGATTAGTGAGTAGCACACTTTATAGGTAATGGATGAAGTGACTTCTCTCTTTCTCTCCCTCCCTCCCTCCCTCCCTCCCTCATGAAATTACTCAAACTCACAAGGTTTCTGACATCTCATCCCTGAGATCTCATGTGAAAATGCAACACTTCATCATTCTTGCCTGGAAATACATGTGATTTTGGTATTCTCACCAAGCCATCTCACCACATTTTGGCATCTTCACCTGGAATCACTGAAATTTCACCAAGTTTCCTCCATATTCATTTTTAAACTGAATGACATTCTACAAATGCTACTTCAGGTTGTTGCATCTTTAGATAGATAGATAGATAGATAGATAGATAGATAGATAGATAGATAGATAGATAGATAGATAGATAGATAGATAGATAGATAGATAGATAGATAGATAGATAGATAGATAGATAGATAGATAGATGGATGGATGGATGGATGGATGGATGGATGGATGGATGGATGGATGGATGGATGGATGGATGGATGGATAGATAGATGGATAGATGGATAGATAGATAGATAGATAGATAGATAGATAGATAGATAGATAGATAGATAGATGATAGATAGATAGATAGATAGATAGATAGATAGATAGATAGATAGATAGATAGATAGATAAAATGCCTTCCCAATCTCTGGTTAAGAAGGATGAAAACCTTAGGCGATATTCACAGACTATGTTTAGAGAGCATGGTCCACTTTCCAGCTTTCTAATCTGGGAGGGCAGGATACCCCAAATCTTTTCATGGATGCTCAGTTCTAGATGAAGGTTGGCTTCACCATTAGGCAGGACAATCAATAGGTTGAAAGCTTACTTTGAGTCTAGAAGTGTCTGGCAATGCCAGGATAATTAATCTTCTTTGTAAGAATATAACTATTGTCTTCCACTTTGATTCCGTTAGGTCTTCCATTCCTAAACCCCTGAACATTTCTCCTCCTTCCCAAGTCTCACAGGTCACCCAGGCATATCTCACAGGTCACCCAATTTTTTTCCATTTTCTCTTCTGTTTTCCCCAAAGGTCACTCCTTGGTAGCAAATTAAGGAGGACATTTAAGACTTCACAACTGGAGTACTTTAGTTTGTCTCAGGCCCCCAAGGCATTCAAAGACAATGTGCTCTAGATATCTGAGATGCACAGATAAGGCTAAGTTTCAGAGAATGTGAAGAAAACAACCAAGAGGAGAAAGCTGGAAGGTGATAGCAACTCTTCTGCCATTCCCTCACTCTTAGCAAAGTGCTTGTGTGCAAACACCATTATAGGGATTCATAAAGAGCTGTTTCCATCTATTAAATATATTTTTCTCTATTTAAATCATCTCAAATTTCTGCCATGTTTCCAAGTTTGCAATATATTCTCCTTGGCACTGAATGGAAGGTCAGCTCTAGGCCAAGGCTGGAGTTTGGGAAGGCTAATTTTTCCCTTCAGACTTTCATAATGTTCACAAACCATTTATTTCTACTGATTTTTTTTTAACAAGTTACATAAAATAAGCTGCTTCTTCCAGCCAACAGGAAAGACTCCCATTATGGAACAGAACATCCCAAGGTCAGACCTGACTTAGGGAGTTGAGGCCAAGCAATTCAACTATCTGAACCCCAAATGGCTTGGAATAAGGTCACTTCTGCTGGGCCTGTAGAAATATTGGGGTATCAAATGTCAATGTGCGCCCCTAGGTCGGCTGAAGAGACTGCTTTTTCCTTCCATTTAATCATGTCTGATTCTTGGAGACTGCCTGGTCAAGCTCTTGCAGCCTTCTTGTCAAGGTTTTTCAAAAATGGTTCACCTTTGTCTCCTTCTGAGGGCTGAGAGAAGGCCTGGCCTAAGACCACCTGTCTGGTTTTGTGCCCAGGGCTGGACTAGAAACTCACAGACTCCTGGTATGTGGACTGGCACCTTAATCACCACACCAAACTGGCTCTTGTACAGTACTGCATGCTCAGCTTAATTAAGTTTCTTTGCTAATATATTTGGTTATTTATGGTACAATGGACACTATAAATTGGAACTTGTGTGAACAAGCTAATTTGAAGAAGTTCTCTGTATTGTTTCTATGTACCCACATCAAAAACTATGCAGTATTCCTGAGCATTAAAAAGATCTTCTGGTCACCATGCCTGGTCTCTTCTTCACAGTTGCTTTTGTGAAATATCTTCCTTTTCTCTGAGTTCAAGAAGACGTAGATGGAGGGAACATCTCTCTAATTTCACCTCTGCAAGAATCCCATGAGGTGGGTTGAGCAGACAATCACCCAATAAGGTCTGAAGTGACTGTAGGCTAGGCCCAGCATCTTAATCACTCCACCACATTGCCTTCGGAATGAATAAATGAGCCATCTCTTTCGCATGAAGACTAGCCTATTGGACCATCCAATCGTCAATCTTCTCTCGCCTTCTGTGCCAGTGAGAAAACAGGCTACCAAATAATATTACCACAATATTGGGTAACCTGGCAGATCCAAGTAGATTGTGTATGCTTATGCATCTATTTTGTTATTTATTTACTGTATTTATTTGTAACATGTTTTGGGCGCTCATCTTACCACTCTGCATGAACATGTGTGAATATGACAAACATATAGTTTTGGCCTTACTACACATTTATTACAATAATTGGATTTTTAGTTGAAGTCTAGGATTTTTGCAGCGGTCCTTATTCAAACGAAATTGCAAAAAAATTCTAAAAGAATAAAAAAAAACTGGATTTAGGAGAGGGAGAGAAGAACAAGAAAGTGAAGGCAATCCAAGGCATATCTTTGGTGTCCTGGAGGCTGGCCATTTTAGCAAAATGATAATGTTAATATTCTCTTCTGGCACATTAATATTTCCAAAAGAGTATTTATTTTGTTTCTGTTTCCTTGAGTTCAGAGGCCCATGAGGAAAAAAAGAGAATACTTCATTTCCCAGCAGACAATGGGCTCTGCTCTGAATTGTTGGAGTAATCAAAAGAACTTTCTATAAAGTTCTGACAGTGTTTCCTGACCTTAACCATTTTAAGATGTGTGGACTTCCCAGAATACCCTAACAGGAATAGCTGTGGTATTCTGGGAGTTGAAGTCCACATGACTTAACAGGCTAAGGTTGGGAAACACTGCTCCATAACCTGAACACTATGGTGATTATGCACAGTTGTTTGCTCAAACTTTAAAAGGAAGCATGTGTTAAGTCTCCACAGAAATCAGGGCATAAGAGAGAGGATAAAATACAAATGCAATTAGAAGCCACTTCTTTATATCTTACACTTTCTTTTTTTCTTTTTCTGTATTTTTTCTTTTATTTCTTTACTACTTATTCACTACTTTTTTTACTTTTCCTTCTCTTTTAAATATCGTTTTTATCTTGCAAAATTGTCTTTAATAAAAATAAATAAATCAGGACATGAGCAAATGTAATCTGTGTCTTATATGATCTTAAATAAAGCAAATTTTTGCCTTGCAGAAGGATTCCAGAGCAGAGTTTACTTAGGTTTTCTGCCTTTAAAAAAAAATTATTGGAAGAACTGAGAAGAACACAAACTGCTAATTATTTGGGTCAAATAAATGGACATACCCATAACTATGGCTCTGTATTTCATCAGAAAACTTATTGGCTACACAATTTCCAGATGTCAAGACTAAAATATACAGGAGAAAGCAATAGCAATACCAATAGTACTTAGACTTATATACCACTTCATAGTGCTTTATAGACCTCTCTGAACAGTTTACAAATGTTGCCCCCAACAATCTGGGTCTTCATTTTACTGACCTCAGAAGGATGGAAGGCAGAGTCAACCCTTGAGCTGGTCAGGATCGAACTCCTGGCAGTGGGCAGAGTTAGCCTGCAAATACTGCATTCTAACCACTGCATCACTACAGCTTCTGAAAGCAATACTGTATACCAGTGTTTTTCAAACTTGGCAACTTTAAGATATCTGCACTTCAACTCCCAGAATTCCCCAGCCAGTGTCATCTGCAGATTTTGTTTGGTCAACTGCAATGAAGCAGTTGGATTGAGGTCTTGCAGAGATGCTCCATTTATGTTCCTGTGGGCCTCGAAGCATCTTTGGAGCATGGAATGCCAAGGATGGCACAACCCAAAGGCAGAACTTAAACAATGCCATATGGGCAAAGTTCTGCTCCATGAAGAATGGAATCTTCTTAAACAGAATAACAGACTTGGAAGGATCTTGGAGGTCTTGTAGTCCAACCCCCTGCTCAAGCAGGAGATCCTATCCCATTTCCAACAAATGGCTGTCCAATCTCTTCTTAAAAGCCTCCAGTGATGGAGCACTCACAACTTCTGGGGGGGCAAGGTGTTTCACTGATTAATTGTTCTAACTGGCAGGAAAATTCTCCTTAGTTCTAGGTTGGTTCTCTCCTTGTTTATTTTCCATCCATTGCTTCTTGTTCTGCCTTCCGGTGCTCTGGAGAATAGGTTGACCCTCTCTTTGTTCTGGCAGCCCCTCAGACATTGGAAGACTGTCATGTCACCCCTACTCCTTGTTTTCATTAGACTAAACACACTAAACACACCTAATTTTCTTCACGTTTTCCCTCCAGCCGCCTCATCTTAAGTCATTTCCCTCCAAGAACACGTGTGGACGGTGGAGAATGTCTCACACACCGACAACACATTCTGGAGGAAGTGCAAAGTAATCAATAAACGTGAATTTGAAATAAGCACTCATCTCCTACCTGCAAATAAATCTTCTTCAATCCGGGGATGAGATCACCAATGGGTCCGGAGGCCAGGCGCCCGACTCCCGACATGGCTCCTATGCAGACAAGCACAATCCAGGATTTTTCCTTTTCTTGGAATTCCACTTCTACGAACTTCACCTGGAAAGCGGAAAAGAGGCATTGGTCTCGTGTTTCTTCCAGCTGGCCCCAGGGTTGCCGATCCCAAATTGGGAGACGCAGTGCGCGTCTTGGTAAAAAGAGACGTCTGCCCACTGCTCCGGTTTGGTGTCATCCCACAAAAAGCAGGAAATGCATAAAAAGGGGACCGTAACCCATGATTTGGGGTCTCCCCTTTGTATATTTTTGGAGGGCTAGGGAGTGGGAAATTTAGGCCTGCATTGTACTCCTTAAAGCAGTGGTGGCGAACCTATGGCACACGTGCCAGAGGCGGCACTCAGAGCCCTCTCTGTGGACACGCGCGCCATGCCCTGGAGATGGCAACCATCCCTCTTCAACCAGCCGCCTACTAACTCGCAGAGGTCCCACATGGCTGGATGCATCCCAACATGGCTGGTTTCCCTCCCATCCGTCCCATCCCTCCTGGCCTCGCATGCTCTCCTTTTCTCGGGCATGACCCACTGCATCGCCTCCTCAGCTGTCGGCCAGCCGGCCAGCTCAGAAGTGGCTTCTCTGAACTGCTGGCAGCGGGCTGTGGAGCCCCAGAGAGCGCCAGTTGAGGGGCTGGCAGTCTGTGGCTGCTGACGGACACTGTCGGCCCCCATGCGCTCGCTGGCCTCTGTGTGCGGGGGCCAATGGTGTCAGGCAGCAGCCGCCCCGGCCCCTACCTCACCTTGCCCTACGACAATGGCACCCCCACGCTGCCTCACCTCGCCTTGCCTCACCTCACCCTGCAGGACGAGCCTCCTGCCCACCACCCCACCTGCCAGAGACCCCCTGGATCTCCCCCAACCCTGCCCAGCCCCCACAGGCGTCCCTCCCCACGAGCAACATCGAGGTGACCATGCCCACCTTGGCCACACCCACCCAGTCTGCCATGACCACCACAGCCACCCAATGGGACATGCCCACCTGGCACCCGGTGATAAATAAGAGGGTTTTGGGTTGCAGTTTGGGCACTCAAGACTGTAAGAGGTTCGCCATCACTGCCTTAAAGGCTTCCAAAGCTGGCTGAGATTTTTATGGGGGTAGTTGAGGAGGTAATGGATAAAATGGGGTTTTTTTCTGCTTCTGGAAAGTCTAAGAGTGTTTCTCAACCTTGGCAACTGTAAGACATGTGGACTTCAACTCCCAGAATTCCCCAGCCAGCAAGGGGAATGGTTGGTGTCGTTTGGTAGAGCTCAAGAATAGAGTGGGGGTTTTTTTGAGGGGGGGGGAGCCCCAATCCTCTGAACGTTCTGGAATATCCTTCTTCCAAACATGAAATTGCCTGTGCCTCTGCTGGCCTTTTGTAAGACTTGAAGACTGGCTTTGGATGTATAGATAAGCCTATATCAGAGCGGTGTTAATAGTTGTGTTGTTTCCCCCCCCCTCAGATGCTCTAAATGTTATTTCTGATTTTGTTATGTTGTTTTTATCTCACTTTGAAGCATTGCATTGAAGATGGGTAGCCACATAAACTGAGTGAGTGCAAGTAATCCTCGACTTACGACCACAATTGAGCCCAAATTTTTTGTTGCTAAGCGAGTGAGACATTGGTTGAGTCTTATCCCATTTTACGACTTTTCTTGCCACAGTGATTCAGTGAATCACTGCAGTTGTTAAATGAGTGACACAGTTGTTAAGTTGACCGTGAGGATGCTGTGAGGGCCGCAAATGCAAGGACTAGTTATAAGTCACTTTTTTCAGTGCCGTTGTAACTTCGAACGGTCACTAAATGAACTGTTGTAAGTTGAGGACTACCTGTAAACATTGGAAGACAACTTCAGACAAGTCTTAGGCCTCTCACTTAGATCAGGGGTCTCCAACCATGGCAACTTTAAGACTTGTGGACTTCAACTCCCAGAATTCCTCAGCCAGACAAGCTGGCTGAGGAATTCTGGGAGTTGAAGTCCACAAGTCTTAAAGTTGCCAGGTTTGGGACCTCTGACTTAGATGATTTGAAATGGCTGCCTCTCATTCTGTAAGGGCAGAGAGGGCTGCAGTCAGGAAGGATCGCTTTCATAACTGACATTTCAGGATGACCACCTTGGACCTCCTAAGGCTAAGCAGAAGGAGGTCTGCTTAGGCCTGGCTTCAGCAGAAGGGACCTCTTGCTCCCCCAGGGAGACCACACCTGTGGTGCTGCTTTATGAAAGGCCAGCCCCATCACTTTGGAAGCCTCCCTCTGGAGAGGGAATGGCCTTGAAGGACAGGAAGAGCCAGCTAAGAAGATAAGGGTCAGATAAGAGACGCCAAGAAACTAACTTGAAACTACTCCAAGTTCATCTGAAGATACAGGCAGTCATGACTTACAACCATTCATTTAGGGACCGTTCCAAGTTACAACGGCACTGAAAAAAAGGATTTGTGACTGGTCCTTGCATTTGCGACCATCACGGCCTCCTCACGGTCATATGATCAAAATTCGGGTGCTCGGCAACTGGCATGTTATTTACCAAGGTTGCAGTGTCCCAGGGTCGTGAGATCACCATTTGCGACCCTCCCAACTGGCTTCCCACAAGGGGAAGCCGGATTCACTTAATAGCCGCACGGTTCACTTAATATCTGCAGTGATGCACTCAACAATCTTGTTAAAAAAAAGTTCGTATAATCGGGCCTAACTCAACTGTTTGCTTAGCAATGGAAATTCTGCTCCAAATTGTGGTTGTAAGTCGAGGGAGGGTGTCAAGCGCTGGGGAAATCAGGAGATTCAGGCAGTTCCAATGAGTGTAAAGCTTCATGGAAAGGTTTAGCTCTCTTACAAGAATCTGACCAACTAACAGTCAAGGGAAATGAGCAGGAGATAAGAAAGACATGCAAGGTGGGCTGGATTTAGAACTTTGTGGGCGTGAAGGGACTCATGATTGATGAGGCGTTTGACTCCTCCCTCCAGCTCAGCCTGGTCATCTCTATGGGGGTGGGGGGAGAAAGCACCCTCAGACTTGCAAAGCTCTGTTACTATACCTTTACAATAAAAGTACAGGAGTCCTTGACTTACGACCACAATTTAGCCCAAAATTGACGTTGCTCAGTGAGAAACTTGTTAAGTGAGTTTTGCCCCATTTTACGACTTTTCTTGCCACAGTTGTTAAGTGAATCACTGCAATTATTAAATTAGTAACAAAGGTGCTAAGTAAATCTGGTTTCTCCTTTAATTTGATTCGTCACAAGGTCGCAAAAGGGGATCTCGTGACCCCAGGACACTGCAACCGTCATAAATAAATATGAGTCAGTCTCCAAGTGTCCAAATGTGAACCGGGTGACCATGGGGATGCTGCAACGGTCGTAAGTGTGAAAAATGGTCAGAGGTCATTTTTTTTCTGGGCTGTTATAACTTCAAACGGTCACTAAGCGAACTGATGTAAGTCGAGGACTACCTGTAGTTTTGACCTACGTGGCACCCCTTTCAGGTGCCCTGCCATTCTGTTGGAGGGGAGGGGGAGGGGGCTCCAGGGGGAGCATTCTCTGCATGCTTTTGCTGTAACTGGGAACGAGGGAGGGGGGAATCATCTGCGGAGATGGGACAGATGCCTCCCGAGTCTGTTCCAAGGTCGCTGCTCCTGAGGATGACCCGTTATCAGGTCTGCGTCTGCACCTCAGCACTCTCAAAACAACCTTGCCGGTGAACTGGTCGGGGGTCGGTTTCGAAATGGGAAGAATAGCTTGGTGCTTTGCGCAGGTCCATCAGAGCCACTAGATTAGGACAAGAAGCAACGGATGGAAACGAATCAAGGAGAGAAGCAACCTAGAACTGCCACCACTGTCTCTCAGTAAAAGTTCTTTTGATTGACCCCATGGTGTCGAGAGTCGTGCTTTCCTAAGAGGACTAGCTAGGGCAGGTCCTTACAATTGGATTCTTAGTCTGCTCTCCCTTTTAGGTCTGACATTGTCTCCTTCCCCTTCCCCCATTTGATGAGGAGCAACCCCCATCTCCCTTCCCCTCCTCCATCTCACCAGATGCAGGTAAGGGACAAAGTATCCCAGGATGGCAGTAGCTATTCCAAAGGCCCACACTCGGTACGTCTTCCTTCTGAAGACCCGCAAGTTGAAATATTTCCGCATCTGTGACATGCATTGCTGCATCCAGCTCCGGCTGTCTAGTTTGACTTCCCTCTCTCGAGGACTCGAGGCGCAGGGCAATATCGGGCGGAAGGTCAGGGACAAGAAGATCTGGACCAGCATGAAGGCGCTCAGCATCTGGAAGGTGCGAGCGAGGCCAAGGCTCTTCCCCACAATTTTCAGGAGGAACGGGAGACCCACGGAGAAGAGGCAGCTGCCGGTCGTCACCAGTCCGTTGGCCAAACCGAGTCGTCGCTTGAAGTAGTGGCCCAGGATGACCAGGGAGGGGTGGAAGGCGAAGGAGCTGCCGCAACCGAAGAGGATTCCGTAGGTGAAGTAGCGGACCTCCAGGGACCTGTGGAAAAGAGAGGACCACAGCAGGGTTTGGTGAGAAATTCCACAGTGTTTCTTTAGGGCTTTACCTTTTGGAATGTTAAAATTGGAGCAACAGAAGACTCTAGAAAGAGTGCAACAACAATGATTCGGGGATTGGAAGTAGGTTTTCCTGCTTGAGCAGGGGGCTGGACTAGAAGACCTCCAAGGTCCCTTCCAGCTCTATTCTATTCTATTCTATTCTATTCTATTCTATTCTATTCTATTCTATTCTACCCTACCCTATCCTATTCTACCTTACCCTACCCTACCCTACCCTACCCTACCCTACTCTATTCTAAAGAAGGGTTGCAAGAACTGGGAATGCCTAGTCTAATGTCTCTGCTTTTCTTATGCCAACTGCCTGCACTCTTAAATCTCATCAAATTTGATGCGACAATGACTACCACCACTGAACAAGTCTGCGGTGCATGGGATTTAAATAGAATCTGAAATTAATACCAAACAACTGCTATGTTTACCCAATCCCTCAACTGCAAACAATTTGAACTGAGTTGTTGGCTCTAAAAATTAACCCAATTAGGGAGAATTGCACAAACATTGCACGATTTTTAAAATAGAAGCACAAGATTATTAATATTTATTTTCATATTATTCCAGGAAATTCTTCAGTTGAGTAATTGGGCTATAATTTAAGTCTGAATTGTTTTAACTGTAGCTGAGGAAAGCTGTGGAAAGTTCAAAGAACAACCAAAGACAAAACTAGAGATATTTCAAAGGGATAAAAATGAACAGTAGAGGAACCCAGTGTTTTGACCAGAGCCGTATACTACATAGGAGAAAATAATGTGAGATATATGTATTCTTCTCCAAAAAATCTTGCTTAACATCCTGATATTTAGAGCACACAGCCAAACCAAGTCAACAAAGACGAATTGTCTTCATTCCAGCTTATAAGAAAACACGAATCTCCTATTCTTTCTTTAAAAATAAAGCATTTCATTAATGGTGTCGATTTGGAATAGCGTTTATTTTAAAAGCTAAAAGATCTGGAGGAAAACATTTTGGACAGGCCAATGACTGCAATGAGCCTGTCCAAATTCAGAAGAGAATAAGTTGGCTTGAGCCAAATTTGCTGCTGGGAGTCCAATTATTTCCCCAGTTTTCAAGTCGGCAAACATCCTTTGCAAGGGATAAAGATTTCCAGCCAGACATAAAAAAAATCTTTCTGTGCCTTCTGTGTGAGCCAGATATAGCCCTCTGGCGCTCCTGCCATCTAAGACAGCCTTAGCTGGGCTACAAAATGCAGATGACCGCTTGTAAGAGAATGTGGACCTGGTGCTGGGAAGGGGAAGGCACGAGGAGACTGCGGGGTGTGTGTGGGGGGGTGGACTCAGATGGGGCACAGAGAAACTACGCAGGATTCTGTTATTCTACCCTGCAATGAGAGGAGCCTTCCAGGAATCCTGGCTGTTGCCTATTTCTTGATCTGGCTGACCTCGAAGGGCTGATTCCAGGAAAGGGCAGCCAAGGGAACCTCCGGGGGATTTCTGTAGGCCAGCCTTGGTCGCCTGATCCCCAGCCAGAGCAGGCCCGCTGGAGGCCAGAGGGGGCACCTGGCCTTTTAGTGGTATGGCAGGAGCGAGGAAGGAAGATTGTGTGGAGGGAGGAGGATGCACCTTGAATGGCAGGGCAGGGCCACTGAGAAATAAATAAATGAAGAAATAAAGAGAGGGAGTGAGGGAGGGAGTGAGTGAGGGAGGGAAGGAAGGAAGGAAGGAAGTCTGAGGAGCATTCTCAGAGGGAAGGAAGGAAGGAAGGAAGGAAGGAAGGAAGGAAGGAAGGAAGGAAGGAAGGAAGGAAGGAAATGGGAAGAGCAGGGAAGATAGGAAGGAAGAATTGATATGGGAAATGGGAAGTACAGGGAAGGAAGGAAGGAAGGAAGGAAGGAAGGAAGGAAGGAAGGAAGGAAGGGCAAACAAATAGGAAGGAGGGAAGACGGGGAGCCATAGTTTTGAAGCTGAGGTGGTCCTGGTGCAAAGAATGTTCCCTTCCAGAAATTTCAGGCGTTGTTGTTGTTATTCAGTCAGGACGTTGCACTGACATTTTATAGAGCTCGTCTGCTTATCCACAGTGATGTCCATCACAAGCACCAAGCCTGGAAGACGTCTAAGGTTTGTGGGCCTCTGCCTGAAGGACCCTTGGGGGGGGGGGAATGGGGCTTGCTTTGGTTGGAGGGCAAAGGGTTCAGAGATCGGAAGAGCCCTTCGGGCCAGATCTTTGCTGGTGAGCCTTTGGGCCCTTCCACCCTCCCTCTCAGAACCTTACTTGGTGAAGGAACTGGAGAGGAGGCCAATGAAAGCTATGGCAGCTCCTGAGGCAGCGGTGGTCCGGCATCCGATCCGGTCGGTGAAGATGCTGACGATAGGAGAGCAAAAGAAAACCATCCCCATGCCGATGGATCCAACCAAGGCTGCAGGAGGAGACAAGAAAGGAAAGGGGTGTCATCAGTGATGGCCAGGAAGTGGGGGAGAATCCCAGGATGGCTGGTGGCTTGGAGAAGAAAAGCCCATCGGATCTGGGACTTGGGAGCAGAAGGAACAGGTGCCTGTTAGGGTCCCCTCCTTGGAAGCTGGCCCTGCGAGGTAGTCTAGATTGAGAAAGTGGCCCCAAGGCCCTCCTAGGCCTTTTCCGTGGCTGGGGGTGGACTCAAACCTGAGTCCTGCTTGCCAATCCAACACCTGCACTGCGATGCCACTTCAAGAGTCCGAGTCCTTGTTATTTATTTATTTACTTATTTATTTGAACCATCATTTCCTCCTGAAAAAAAAGGCTTCTCAGCTTTGGCTTTAATAAGAAGCAGCCACTGGCTGTAAATCTGGATTGCTTTATTGCAATTCCGGGATTTCCTCACTGCAAGGTGAATTCCCTCGTTGGTAGATTCAACTTGGCCCAGATCTCCACAGATCTTCAGTTCACGCCCACGCAGTGTTGGATCAAAAGAGACAAGCCTTGCCTGATGCTGTGCTTTCCCCTTTCTTTCCATATTCATGAGGAACCCTGAAAAGTCCTTCATTTCTCTGCACAGACAGCCAAGGCACTTCACATTTATTTGCAGCCCCTTCCTCGACTGGCGGGGGAGGGGAATCTCACTCCCAGTGCCCTTGACGCCCAGATTTGCTAAAATTTTCATTGCACGTTTATATATGCAAGCATAACTATGATGTGCGTGATGTGCAATTAGTTCACAGGGTGAAATAAGTTGGGGGTTTGTAGTCACCGTGAGTTTGTGATGAGGGGGGGCACAGAGGGAGGCTCAGCCAATTTCACTGTATACATGTTATACTTTGATAATAAAGGGTTTATTATTATTATATGCCGTTTTTCTTTTCTTCTTTCTTTCTTTCTTTCTTTCTTTCTTTTCCTTTCTTTCTTTTCCTTTCTGTCTTGCTTTGCACTCTCTCCTTCCTTCCTTCCTTCCTTCCTTCCTTCCTTCCTTCCTTCCTTCCCTGTCAATTTAAAAAGTGCCAACTCCCCTTCATGTATTGATTTCATGTTTTCCCTTTCGGATGGGCCCCCAATTAAGCGTTGGGTTTACTGATTTTTCACTGTAACCTTATGGATGGACAGGGAGGATGTTATTCTTTGAAAAAATACATTTTCTTCCAGAATTAAACACTTTTTGGGGGGGGGTTCTTATTCAGGTCCTGACCAGCTGCAAACTGATCTAGCTAGCTTTAACAGGGTTTTTGAACACTGATTTTAAGTACAGAGGAAGACAGTAAACCAGCTTAGTTGTCAAAAAAAAAAAAAAAAAGTACAGGTACTTCTCAATTTACAACCATTTGTTTAGTGACCATTCAAAGTAACAGCACTGAAAGAAGAGATTCACCTGATCAAAATTTGAGCATGTATTTACAGATGTTGCAGATTCCCAGGGTCACCTGATCACCATTTGTGACTTTCCCAGCCAGATTCCTTGACAATGGTGCGATCCACTTAACAGCTGCAGCGATTCGCTTACCAACGGAGGTCGTAAAACCGGGTGCCACTCACTTAATAACTGCCTTACCTAGCCACAGAAACTGTGGTCTTAATTGTGGTCGCATGGGTCCAGGACAACCTGTATGGGTCCAGCCATCAATGCATCCCAAAGTCTCGTGCACAAATGATTAGGTAAAGGCCTGTGAGAGATATTCACACCACACACTAAATCAGGTAAGTGGTAATCTGAGTTAAAATGTCTGTAGTTGAATGGATTATGTGAACCGGCTAGACCCACTTTTGGATAGTTTATGACTCAGGATATTGTGCAGATTCCCCAAAATGGATGAACTCAAAGGTTTATGCCAGGGGTCTTCAAACTTGTCCCTTTTATGACTTGTGGACTTCGACTCCCAGAATTCCTCAGCCAGGCACGCGTGCCTGGCTGAGGAATTCTGGGAGTCGAAGTCCACAAGTCATAAAAGGGACAAGTTTGAAGACCCCTGGTTTATGCAAACACCATCCTAGGAAGAACCAAGTGGTTTGCCAGCAATGCTTCCACTGAACGAGACAACCAAACTTCTGATTTTTAAAAAAACTTTATTGGTTTGTTTTTCCCCGAAAGAGAAAAGGGAAAGGAAAGTTCTGGTTTATGCTTATCCTTCCCCACTGCCCCCCTCAATCCACTGGGGCCTTTGGTTTACCGCTCCTGAAGTCTCGACAAAAATATCCCCTTGAAATAACCACTCGTGACAGGACTGCGAGGGAACTTCAAGTGTGATTGTGAGAAAGTGTCTGCTCCAGGGATTTGCCACTTCCCTCCCCCCCCCCAGTACAGAAAGGGGGCACAATAGCTCAACAGCCAGCCTGCCGCACATCCTCAGCCCTGCCTGGAAATGGCATCAGCCTTTCCCCTTGGGTGGCTTCAACTAAACAAAGCAACACACCAACATAGGAAGGCACACCTTTCTCGCTTTCTTGTGCGACCTACAACCACAAAATGGTCACTAAATGAGCTGTTGTATGACCATAATTGAGCCCAATGTTTCTGTTGTTAAGTGAGACGTTTGTTAAGTGAATTTTGCCCCCTTTTAATAACCTTTCTTGCCAGAGTTGTTAAGTGAATCACTGCAGTGGATAAGTTAGTGACACGGTTGTGAAGTGAATCTGGCTTGCTTGTCAAAAGGTCGCAAAAGGGGATCACGTGACCCCGGAACACTGCAACTGTCCTAAGTACATGCCAGTTGCCAAGCGTCCACATTTTGATCATGTGACCACGAGGATGCTGTAAGTGTGAAAAACGTTGATGTCACTTTTTTCAGTGCAGTTGCAACTTCAAACAGTCACTAAATGAAATGTTGTAAGTCAAGGACTACCTGTAATCAAACAATCTTCCTCTGATGGACTAAGAAATCTCGACTCGAAAGAGCAAACGCTGAGCTATCTATCTTGGAAAGTTATTATGGAGTGCCTCCTGAAATGGTCCTGATCTTAGGAGCCAGAAGGAAAAACAACAATAATAAACTGTTTCTGCTGAGGCACATAATCAGGAGTAGAAATCTGATTGTACAGTTATAGCCATCTTGATTTATTTTTTATCCCCTCCATGGACTCCCCTGCATATGATATCACCCTGCTTACTTTATGGCAATGTCATTATGGGCTTGCAGAAAAGGGACATACCAATTGTCCACCCGGGATGTCTGCAGAATATGGAGAAACAAATCAAGAGGATGGACACAATGGTGAGATCAAAGCAATACACATAAAGGAGGACAGAGCTTCAATGACACTTTTGTGGGTGCCATCTTGACCACACCCTACATTCTGCTGTGTCTCATTGCAGGTTGACTTGCTACACACTACAAGAAGGCAGTTCTAGTTTCAGAGGCCAACAATTCATTGCCACAATTGTAACACAGCTCATCTCTAACGTATGAACTGGAAACTTGATTATTCTTTAGAATTATGACTTTAAAATTCTTGCTCTGCGATGAGTCAACTTGAGTCCAAAGAAGTTCTTGCAAAATTACACCCCATATCTCATTCTTGAGGGTGTTATAACAGATGAACGTGAAGGATTAATGTGAAGGATATGAAAGACTATTGCAGGATTTCCCAACTTTGGTAACTTTTAGACACGCGAACTTCAACTCTGGCTGGGGAATTCTGAGAGTTGAAAACCAGGGCTGAAATCAGCAAGAATGCTTCCAAACTCTACAAATGTCCCAGCTTCTTGTGCCTCAGATGAGTTGGCTAGTGAGTTCAGATGTCCAGTCAATGCAGCATCTGCCCCAAAGACCTCTTTTCAATTATGGGGAGAGCATCGTTCAAGTGGGAAACGAAGACACTCTTCCAAATGTGCTGTGTCCATCCACAGCCCTCTTCTTTGGAAGACTAGCAAGAAATACTTGGATACGTTTAGAGTCCGAGCAAAGAAAACACAGCGAGCTAAAAGTTGAAAACGAGTCAGCTTCCTCCAACTCACATCATTAGATGCATCATTACGCTTGTGGCCGAGAGTGCCAGTACTTGTAGCCAAACTTCTTTGGAGGGCAGAAGGTTTGGAGAAGAGGTCCTTTTGAGCAAACCTCGACTTGGGAGGCCTCCTGCCCAAGAACGATTTTGAAGCCGCAGCAGGCAGGTGGAATTTAAGTTACAGGAACCCCTTTTTCATCTCTCTGGAAGGGAAATTAGGCCCCTTGCTTCTCTGCTCCAAATAAGCCAGGTACTGTATTTGGCTTGGCAAAGTCAACATTTTCTGGGTTTTATTTCCCACATCTCTAAAAGACAAACAGGAGGAAATTCAACTTTCCCTAGAGAGCCAAACTAAGAATGAAGCGGACTTGGATTGTTGCAGTTTCTGGTTTTGTTTAAAAAAAAATTGGCTGTTGGAATTGCCATGTGCAACTGAACAAAATTGCCAAACCCCACCGGGCTGCAGTTAAATGGCCTTTTTTTATAGTTTTACGAAATCCTATCAACTCAATGTTTGTAGTAAATTTCAGAGTCAGATTGTTCTGTCCCAGGCACTCTTTGCTTTTGCTTTTCCATTTATTACTGGGGCAGCCAAACAGCCACGATTCCTCTGCACCATACACACTCACATGTTTTGTGTAAATTTCCAACCCTCAATCTAGACCAGTCTATAGAAGCTCGTGATGCCCCCTGACTGAACTTATTAATCATGGAGGTGCGTTACTTGCTTGAAACAGACTAATATGTCTTTTCTTGCTTCAGTTGCTACAAACTAACATAGTTTTCTTTGTGTTGGCTGCCACAGACAACCAAATGGTTTCTTTTGCTTTGGTTGCAACCTACTAACATGATTTCTCTTGGTTTGCTTGTCAAAGACTATCATAGTTTTTTTTTGGTTGCAACAGACTAAAATGGTTTCTGTTGCTTTCGCTGCAAGAGACTAACAAGGTATTTCTGGCTTTGGTTGCGATGGACTAACATGGTTTCCTGGACATCAGCTGGGCAGTTCCC